TTTTTTTTTTTTTTTTTTTTTTTTTTTTTAACCTATAGACACCTGTTCAATTCGATTCTTTCGGTGGGCATGGCATTTTTTTCCCTCCGTTGCAGGAAGTAGAGGAGGAAGTCAAGAAGATGAGTGCTGATGGGGAGGGTGGAGCAGCGAAGACGCTGTGCATGCCATTTGACCAGCTGCCGCTTCCAGAAGGTACGTGAACTCCTGGTGTATTGATTTGTCCAATTTTGTCCAATTTCACGTGATTATATTTTGGCAAAGTCGTGGAAATCTGGTAGGTAGAAGTTGGGAGAAGTTCTGAAAAGGTAGGTGTGGCAAGACCGGATGTCTGCTAGGGCGTGACCTGTCCGTAGTACTCCGTACCGAGATCCAGAGGCCCGGCCCAAACACAGTTGCCATATGTGCGTCCGTCACAATATCAGAATTTGGAAAGAAAAACATGTAGTAGTGGTAGTAGTAAAAGAGTAAAACATGGCAGCAAGTTGGAATTCATGGGGTATATCATGTCACACATCAAAATACATGGCAGCACATCATACACCTGCGCCTCTTTCCCTGAAGACCACCGTCGCCTCGTCACCTGCCCATGCCCCTGCAGCCCGGATATGGCTGCTTGGTGCCCCGCTGCCCTGCAGCGCTCCACCCCTCTTATCGCCTGCGAGCGCACCAGCCAGCAAAGCGCATGCAGACACTTGCGCTCCGATGCAGCAGCGTGTCTGCATCGCCTGCCTAGGCCAGAATGACTTCCTCTGACCATCCTCTGGCTTTATAGCAGCTGCGGCCCTTTCCCTGTGGCTGCGAGGGCCTGACCGAGGAAGTTTGCAGTAGCTTCCAGTGGGGCCCCAGTGTCTGCGCCCAGGCCCCTCTTAGAGTTAAGGGCCTGGGCCGTTTTGTGGTTGAGCACCTACGGGGAGCCTCCAGGCTCCAAAGTGTTCGAGTTGGCCCGCTGGGTAGTTGTGTGACAGCAATGCTGCATTCTCATTGGCCCGCGGCCACTTCGTGATGTGTAGGCCTCACACTGCGTGTGCCCAGGACGCAACCAACTGCGTCCTGGGCTCAACTGCCTGACGCAGCTGCCGCTTCTGGAGAGAGCCCAGGGAGAGGTCCAGGTGGCACTTCAACCTACGCGTGCTGCAACTGTCTGATACCCACATTGTAAAATGCTGAGATAAGGGCCTCTCGTGAATATTCAGGTCGGCCTTCACTTAGGGCGGGCACGAGGGTTGCTGGGGGCCGCATTCCAGAACATGTGCATGTTGTCTAGGGCACCATGAGGACACATTCCTCACATATAATGTGCTGCCATGTATTTTAATGTGTCATGATATACCCCATGCTACTACGGTACTACCACTACTACTAGTGCCCTAGGTAGCACGGCGTACGTTTACGTGGGTTGCTCGTACACGTGTACACCTTTTCCTGTACGCAACACGTACGTGCGTACACCTACTCCAGTACGTAGGACAACTTAAAAAATAAAAATAAAAAAAATCGAAAAAATCTGAAAGAAAACTTATGTTATGCGAAATGATATTTCAAACAACTTTTGCCTGAGACTCGTCTCAAAATTCTGTACCAAACTTGAGTTAAGAATCAAAAACCCAAAAAACAAATAAGTTGAAGTAATAAAAAAAACAAGGAAAAAACAGAAAAATGAAAACAGACTTCTGTAACAAATATATGTTATGCAGAAACATGATACAAACAACTTTTGCCTGGGAGTCGTCCCAACTAAACTCGAGTAAAAAATCAAAAACTAAAAAAAGCTACGAAGATTCTCACGCCCGGCCGGTCCTGCCCGGGCGTGACGCCCGGGAATGTAAAAAAAAAAAAAAAGGGGGGGGGGTGTGCTCTTCCAGAGGAACCCAAATCCGGGCTCATTTCAATTTTTGCGAGTTGGCTGGAGGTTGGATTCGGTGGAGTGGGTGGGGCAGCGTTGTGATTGGCTGTACGATGATGATATTGACGTGTCATGTTTTTTTTTTTTTTTTTTTTTTTTTTTAAACAAACACGCTGCCGTTGATTTGTCATGGGTTAGCATGCTGAGTTTGAGAACTTGTTTCTATTGTCACAATATACTTGGCAGGGACGAAGTGCTTCAAGTCCGGGAAGCCAGCAAAGCGGTGGGCACTTTGGGGCCGGAGTTACTGATGGAGACGAGCTTGATAGGGGAAGGGGGGGGGGGGGGGGGGGGGGGGGGGGGGGGGGGGGGGGGGGNGGGGGGGGGGGGGGGGGGGGGGGGGGGGGGGGGGGGGGGGGGGGGGGGGGGGGGGGGGGGGGGGGGGGGGGGGGGGGGGGGGGGGGGGGGCGGTCGAGAGGAGGAGAGGGACTGGATTGCTGATTACTTTGTGGAAGTCGGCAGACGAATTGGCCTGCAACAACGGATTGTTGCCGTCCTGTGAAGGCGGCCGTCAGTAGTCTGTTATGTTAGACTGAGCAATGAGTTGGTGTTGATCAGGTTATATATAAAGAGAGAGAGTCTTACAGACCATTGTGTCTGTTTTTTTTTCCCAAATCTTTATAAGAGGAGGTGAGGGACTTGTATCCAGGCTTGTTTGGAAAAATTTTGGCATTGCATTTTGTCACTTGTCTTTTATAATAGGCTATTTGAGACTTATGTTGCTTGTTCTTGGTTTTGTTTTGCCAGCAAAGTCCTCTTGAGATGTCTTCAATTGTCCTCACAACCAACTTTATGTGCCCGTGCTCGTCGAAGCTTACCGAACCTGTTTTTCTTCTGCATCTGAATGGAAAGTGCTGGGGTTCCCATTTTGTGAACCTGCAAGTTACAGGGATGCCCATTTTATGAAGCATCACTCCATGGCATGTTGAACCGGAATCGCACCAACCTTTTTCTAGAAAGTGCCCTACCCATATATGCCCATTTGCCGAGCTGTGTGCGCATCATCTTTGCCTATTTATTCATCCTTCTGTCATGCAAGTGCCCCCCCCCCCCCCCCCCCCCTCTCTCTCTCTCTCCCTCTCTCTCTCTCTCTCTCTCTTTTTCTCGCTCTGAGGTTCATTCCCATTTTTTGCACATTTCGAGAGTGGTGTGGTGATGGCCTAAGCTAGCCTGAACAAACTGAAAAGCTATTCCCTACTTGCCACCCACATATCACAGAAAAAGAAACACGAGAAAAAAAAACCAAATTTTGGTGAAAACAACAACCCTGGGTTAACCACGTGCGTGTCTAGCTGGCCGCGATGTCATTTTCTCTTTGATCAGAAAAAGAAGTGTTATTTTCTTTCCAGAGACGGTCCAGACTGCACCTTGACAACACTCAGGGCGTAGTCACGCTAGTGGTAGGACTTTTCTGGATGCTTGTGCGGGTATGTTCTCCCACACATATACACATCATGCATGTTGCCAGCCGAGCAGTGGTTGTCCTGTCGCAACTCCGAATTACATTTCCACAGGAGTATCAAAATGCGATGTTAAATTCCGCGGCGGGAGCCATTTTCACTGGTTTAGTATTTTCACTATTTTCACTATTTTCAGTATTCAACCCAGGAGGGGGCACAACTACAAACAAAAAAAGTTTAAAAAACACGATGAGAGAATATGAGAGAAGTTCCAATAAAGACACGTGCTTTCAAATGTTTTCGCTACTGCACCTTCTCCCGACAGCAAAAGTAGACAGAAAATCAACAAGTACATAAGTGCATGCATACCTCCAGAGGAGAGGACCTTGTTCCTACTTCCAATCAACAGGCAAGGGGTCGATTGCCCAGTACAACATTCTTGGTACTCCTAAGCACTATATGCCTGCAGCCCCGCATCCCAATGGGTGGTGGGTGGGTGGGGTGGGGGTGGGCAGCAAGGGGGGAGAGGGCAGGCGGTGAGCAAGCGAGCCCGCTTGTGCGCGCGCGCGTGAGAGAGAGAGAGAGAGAGAGAGAGAGAGAGAGAGAGAGAGAGAGAGAGAGAGAGAGAGAGAGAGAGAGAGAGAGAGAWAGAACATGGCCAGATTCAMCCGCCACATTAGCTACAACATGGTCAGATTCAACCGCCACATTTTTGTCGTCTTCACATGTTGAGGGTGGTGTGGCGAGGCCCTTAGGCAGGGGCAAGGGGTGGTTTACATCCTTCCTGCTGGAAGAGATTATCAATGCCATCCACTCCAGCCTCCCAGCCATAATGGGGAGGAGCGTGGTGGGAGTACTCGTTGTGCAGTTGGACTTGAGGGTGGAATAGGAACCACTCGTACCTCTGCCAGTGTTGGGAAATTATATTTTTTGTAGCCTGTACCCAAAGAATTGGGGGCTGGGAACCAGGGTCGGCAAGGCCCATAAATCGTGGTTTTCTTTTGCCTGTACATGAAAGGGAAAGAGAAAAAAAAAAAAAAAAAAAAAGCTTTTTGTGCTGCAATGATGTCGGGCAGGGTAGTCTAGGAAGCCGTGCCCACAATCTTCCGCTGCGGAATGCATCTTACAGCAAAGACGGTCACATTCTGGAACCTGTTGTTTTCTGTTTTTTTTCTTTCTCGTTTGTTTGATTGTTTTCTTTTCTTTCTCGTTTGTTTGTTTGTTAGGAGTCCCCTGCCAACGAGGCAGGGCGGAATCCGTGATCTGCTCAAGCTGTGTTTCCTCAGAGTATTGTAACCGTGATCACACTGGCACTTAGAGAGGAATGTATCCAGCCATTTTCACGGGCGAATCCGTGTTTCCGTTTTTTTTTTTTTTCTTTTTTTTCTTTTTCTTTTTTTTTCCCCTTCTGTTTCTGGAATCTGACAATCTGAATCGGCGATCTGCTCTATCTGTTTTTCCTCAGAGGATTGTAACCCTGATCACACTGGCACTTATCCAGCCATTTCACGACTGTTTTTTAACTTTTGTTTTCCCCCCCTCCTTTGTGTTTCTGGAATCTGACAAGCTGGCCACTGGAATCTGACGACCTGGCCATGGGGATGAGATGCCCTCACCAAGGGCACGCTCACACGACCACTACCAAGAATGTATACAACTGCGATCGCGGCCAGAGATTTGTTTCATTTTTCGTGTTTTCTTGTTTTTTCTGAGTTTCGCGGCCGCAACATGTTGTCTTCTTTTTTTTTTGTTGTTGTTTTGTTCTTCCCGTGAGAGTACCATAACGAAAATGGAGTGGGACCGTCCTTCGGGACATCCGTTAAAATTGGAAGGATACAGAGAAGATTAGCATAGCCCCTGCGCAAGGATGACACACATAAATCGAGAAACGGTCTAAATTGTTAAAAAAAAAAAAAAAAAAAAAAAAAGGAGTGCGACCCAGGGTCAGCAAAACTCGGAGCGCAGTGAAATTCAGGGTCGCGAAAAACCGGCTCAGAGGTCCTAGTGGTTTAAGAGAGAGGAAGAAGTCTGTCCAGTTTATCAGGTGTTGTAAAGCCCATGTAATAAGAGATTTGTAAGGGGCATTTGAAATCTTCGGAGGGGACGGTCGTGCTACCGTCGTCACCGGAATAGTGCGCCTGGTCTTTATAGCTTCTGCATTTAGGACAACTTTCGGTCTATATACGGCGATTTTGACCGGGCGGTGGGGGTTCTGTTTGTGTGATGATGGTGAGGCCCTACGCAGTTCCGTGTTGGTGTTCGGAGGCGAACGCGAACATGTTCGCCTGAACGCGAACAAGCGCCCAGAAACCTCCGAACGCGAACATCAAAAAAAAAAAAAAAAGAAAGAAAGTTCTCAAAATAATCTGGAAACAATATATGTTATGTAGAGTAACAATACAAACAACTTTTGCCCTGGAGTCATGTTCAAATTCGTAGCCAATCATGAGTTAAAAATGAAAATCCGAAAAACGTTCTTTTCTTTTTTTTTTATGAAACAAAATATATGTTTGCCCGAACATGTTCGCGAGCTGTTCGCGCGACGCTCGAACACGTTCGCGGGAACGTGAAGGGGCGTGAACACGTTTGCCGTGCTACGCAGGTGAGGCCTTTCTATTTTTTCCGACCTTGGCATAATGCGGCTCGATATGTGAAGTCTTAGTCCGAGGATGTTCTTTTTTTTTTTTTTTCTGGTGTGGTTGCCGACGACCGAGCAGTGCGAGCGAGTATGTCCCAATGGTTCTTGCAAAACCAGTCACATTGGTGTATCTTGACTAGAAGCTGCTCCAAATACGGGTATAATGACTGGGCATTCTCTCCTTGGCTGAAGACTATACATCGTCGGTGAGTCATGGAAAGCATTGCTTCAAAGCCTTCATGGTAGCCGACTAGAAAAAAAAACGGGTCGGCATAGTCTTTCCTATTCCATGGCCACTACCGTCTTCGCCCTAAATAGAATGTGTACGGTAATCGTCGTCGGTGTGTATTTAGACTTAAAGTTGGCCCAAATAAGGCTATAATGACCACGTGTTCTGTTGGGGTGAAGACGGTAGAGTGCAGAGCTGCGAGAGAAGGAATACTCCACTCAACAGTTGGGCGGGCAGGCACAATTCTCTTGCCTGATTATGCATGGGTGTTGTATGGGGTAATGCTTATTTGTTCATTCATTCTCTAAGGTCATGCTCACCCCAGGAGGTTTTCGACTCGACACTGGACATGATTGCAGTCAGATGCATCCAGGTCCGTCTGTAATTTGAGTCAGATACATTTCTAGAAGTGCCAGTGTGAGTATGGCCCAAGTTTAGAACGAATATGCATGGATGGGGCGGTGTGTCGAGTACCACCACGTTCAGAACAAATTCATAAATCATTTCAGCGGAAGTTTTTGGCAAGCACTGGCTGTTGCAAGACATGAATATATGATGATGTACAGAAAGTCCTCGTGGAGGCTGTGATTCTCCTGACATTGTCTGTTCTCCTTGTTCTGCACTCCTCGGTTGGTTCCCCAGGGTGACTGTTTATCTGATGGATTGCCCCTGGAAAAAAAAAAAAAGCCACTTTCTTGGCCGCTCAAACTTTAGCCCCCCCCACCCCAACGCTCATACAACTCTCCTCCTCATTGGGAGGAAGACCCCGCTGAAATACGCGGGCCAGTACAGGACGGTTTTATCACGCTCGTTCGAGTTTTTTTATTTCATTTCATCGTTCTCTGTTATGAGGCCCTTCCTTTATACCCGCCGTTAGACGATCACATACATTTGGAGCTCCTTGGCCAGGTCCATTTTGCATCCGAGGACCGCTGTCCCATTCGGTCCCATCTGGTCCCCTTCCGTCTGGGTCTTGTCAGTTTTTGAAAGACTCTTTTGCGGGCTGCCATCCTGTGCGGCGAGTCATTGTCACATATTCGTGTACACAGCATTTGTGTCACGTGCGTTCGGCTGCTACGCTCGCAGACAACGACATACACTAACTCGGTGTGTACATGCACCCGATTACGGCGATTAGTTGTTGTAGACCCGTCAAAAATACACCTGATTGGGGCGACCAAGGTGCACGGTGTAAACCAGTGTGGTGCAGGAGTGCAAATTTGGTTGTCCTCCAAAAAAGGGCTGCTGGCTTATCAACATGCAACTGCACGAGGACCCGTTTGTCGAGTTGGGCCTCGCCGCACGACCCAACATTCTACATGCAGTTCGATGCCTTTCTGGACCAGGTGCATTGTGAGGAGCAACATTTTGAATGTATCCGGACGATTACAAGCACCAGATACACAAGAGTGTCGTGTAGTGGAGTGAGGCCCATTGTTTGCCATTGCTCTTTGTAGTTCAGATACACAAGAATGTTACGACTATCCAAACAGCGGACTCTGAGAACTGTGCTTTGGGGTTTGTTGCATATCACCTGCCCCTGGGATCTCGGCTGTTTGTCTGCACTATCTCCGCCTGCGGGGGAAAAAAAAAGTTGTGGCCATGGT